AACACTGAATCCTACTCAGGTAGAGTATTCAGTGATTTCCTCACCATGAAGAAAGGGTGTAAATTGTCTAATGTTATACACCTGTTTGTTAATTGCCTGCCTTCCTTTTCAGGTGGTCGACTCCATTCCAGAGATAGGGAAAGATGATGAAATGAAACACATTTATTCTCTCATCCCCCACAAAGAAATCCATATCCCAGGAGCACGAAATTAGGTAACGTGGTTGAAGTGCAAACAATGATATGAATGGTGTCTATTAATTATTTGTGCCAATACAATACTTGAGTCAAAACTGGAAAGAAATCCATTGGAGCAGTTACGTCTTACCCAGGGGCCAATATGAGTTTGGTGACAGCATCATCATCCACAGATGCACACTCCACGTTACTAAGTCAGTCCGAAACCTTGCCGTCTTGTTTGACCCTCAATTATCCTTTCTACCCGACATCCATGCCATGACCCACTCTGCCTTCTTGAACTAGCTCCTCCCATTTGTAAAATTGAGCAGCTAAACCATTTTCCAACTTTAAATCAGCCCGAGATAGAAAATTCTTTTAGCTGGTACTGAGAATCTACTCACCAGACTTTAATGATTCAGTTGTGATTTCATGATACTGTGCATGTCAAAAGAGCTTGCAATAATAGAGCTTAAATATTGTAACTCTGTATTTAGACAAGAAAAACATGTCGGCTAATTAGATCCATAATTTTAAATATGAACAGCAATACTGACTTAGATTTCTACTGTCTGTCTATTGAAATGGAAACATCTTGTCCCCGTTTACTCATGAGATGACTTGAATAATAGCTTCCAGCTTTATATTATAATTCCCTGGCATCATTCACCATTTCACATCTGACACCAACTAGAACACAGCTTCAATTAGTAGTTAGTCAAGTCTAGGGGGAAAATATCTACTTACAAAGCCATATCAAAACATTTCAACACCTTTTATTGAGGTAGAAAATCTCAAAATGCTTTACAAAGTCAGAATGGGATCCCAAACTGAGAGGGAGACAGGGGGGAGATGGGAGGGGTAGTGGGTAGGTGGCCAAAGGCACAGTCAAAGAAGTAGATCTTTAGGTAAAGTATTAAAAGTGGAGAGGGAGGTTGCATGCCAGAGAGATTTCACAATGGAGTTACAGAGGGTAGGAGCAAAGTGATTGAAAGCTTGCTGGATAATGGTGGGGCACGAAGCAAGCCAGCAATAGCCGAGTGGATGGAAGGAGTGAGTGGGGAGTAGAATCACAGGAGATCACAGAGGTGGGGTGTGGTAAGGCTGTTGAGGCATTTAAAGGCAAGGACAAGGATCTTAAAGTTGATCTGCTGGGGAAGGGGGATAAGGGGCCTGTGAAGCTGGGGTGATGCTGATGGCTCACGGAGCCTAGTGTAGCTGCAGAGTTCTGTATAATCTGGAGTTTGTGGAAGGTAGAGCTGAGGAGATTGTGAAAATGGTGCGGTAACCAAAGCGCAGTGCAATATTCCTATATAAAAGCAAAGCCTGTGGTCACCCGAGTAAAAACAGCTGTTGAACTACCCACAAAATAAGCAGCCTATGAATACCATGGAGCAAGAGACTGAGACATACATCAATGATCGCTGTGTTAACACTGCCAAGAGACTGAGCAGAGAGCAAATGTTTACCTTCCTCCTTGAGTCTACATTTTTAAAGGGTTTAAACATATGAATTATCAGTGTTTTGCGAACCCCCTCTGAGTGTAATGCCTTTGGTGGACATATGATGAAATGCAAAGTGCAACCAGAGGCTTGAAATTGCCGTTGGTTTTAGCCGCAAGACCATTTAACTTAGAATGTAAAGACAACGCAGAAATTTGGAAAACTCTTAACCTCTGCTTAAATCAGAAATTCTTAAAAAGACTGTGAGGAATTTCAGACCTCTGGTGTTCGCTCTACAATACTGCCCAAAAGAAAGTTTTAGAAATTGCATGAGATATTTTTGAGGTTGTAGCATAGACCAGTGCACTGTCCTGTCGCTACAGATGCATGAGGGAGTTTGGATCAAAGATGTTTACTTGCTCTTCAACACAAGCTAATTAAACACAGATGGCAATGCTGCTTTCAGTTGAATTTTTCTCCCATTCTGAGTCAACAAGGGAGAATCTGACCCTTCAGATGATGTTCTGTGATGCTAAAGGAACTCTGAACTCCATAGCTAGCTGGCAATGAATTTAATTCAACAATTGTGCTCATTTAAGCACAATACAGATGTTTATACAGCAGTGGAGGCAGCCCTGACTTTGGCGCCAGTTATAAGCTTAATCAAGAAGGGACTGTTGCTTCATGAGGTGGTGTACATTCTCCTAAAGCTTCGCTTCATGCAAACTCTAGAGGGAAAGCATCCAACACAGAGAGATGAGTGTTGCCGTCCAATGCGCTGGGTGTATTATTTCTGCCCAGGAACTCGGTGTCCAATCTTCAAGGCAACAGTGTGGATTTGGCACATTTGCTTTTTCGAGGTTAAACATCTGCAGCGGCCAGGAAAAAAAGGTGATTTAGAAAAGGAGGGTGGGTGATGGAAGAAAAGCGGGTGAAAGTGTGGCCATAACAGGCACCAAGAGCCTGAGGCTTTGCTTCAGCTGGTTCTCCAATAGTTTACAAGCCAAATGGCCAACTTGCATGCTGTGTTTAACACAGCAAGACTGCACGTCAAAGGAATCTGTCTGTCTGTAGGGCTGATAATGAGTTGCACGTGTGCCTGGGAGCTTCACATGGCAAGTGTGCGTGTTGGATTAACAAAGACAATAGACAGATCCTGATGTATGCAGGCACACACCAAAAAAAATGTGGATTTAATTTAAAAGCCCACTGCATTGCCAATGCTGACCTCAGCCAATATAAAACTAATTAACATTTTATCCCTCTGAATAAACAGGAATTTAACATGGTTAAAACTTCAGATAGGGTTACTGTTCTCCAAAGGATCAAGACAAAATAGAGCAGTGAGCGTATTTGGAAACTCCTGTGCAAGTGTGGCAAAATAATATTTTCTGAGTGTGAAAGCTTGGGCAGGACTTTAATATGTTTTCTTAGTGCAAAAAGAACTGGTGTTCCAAACTTATTTTGTGCTCTGCTTTCTTTCAGGGGGTAATGTATAATAAACTCCCTTTGTAGGAATAGTTACAACAGCTGCAGCTTTTAATTTATTAATCAAAAATGTTTCTCATTCACAAAAATCCATGAATGGTCCAGAAGGGATTCTGAGCTTCACACTGTTATCCAAGTCTTGTACTCACACTGGAGCGCATTGCTTCCAAGTGCTAGGTGGTCTTATCAGTTAGATTTTGTGTGGTAATGTAGAAATCATTTCAACAGCAGGAGGGTTGTGTTTAGCTCTTCTGTTCTGTCATGTTTCTATATACTATAATCCCTGAGCAGTCTTCTGTCACAATCCTGCAAATACAGTACTAGCAAAACCTCATTGCTTAATACTAAATACATCAGCCTGGGTATCAGAATACAGTATTGTATACAGATTACATTTTATTTCAAATGGGGAAAGAGGATACAAGGTGAGAAATAACCTATCTTCCCCCTCCCTTGTGGTATGTAGATTAGAAAGAAATGAATTTTACTGCCGCTTCTCCTATTACTTTCCAAAACATCACTGCAAATGTTACCAAATGGGAAGTAGTAATATGGGGAACACCTTTGCAATGCAACTGGGTAGAGATATTGTCTTTTCTTCGCTTGTGAGAGCGGTAGGTTTCTCAGTCATGCTGCAACACTGTGCAGTTTAATAATAATAATCCTTGCATTTGATATAGCGCTTTTCACGTCGGGAGGACGTCCCAAAGCGCTTCACAGAACACACTGTAAAGTGAATTGACTGTATATTTGTGGGCGAACACGGCAGCCAATTGCGCACAGCAATGTCCCACAAACAGTCGTAGATTGAAAATGACCAATTTATTATTGTTTTTGGTTTGGAGGGATTATTATTATTAGGTGTGTGGAGTAAGGAAACTTGCCCAAGGTTTCGCCCTCTGCCTGGAATTGAACTCAGGTCTCTCACTTGCAAAGCGAGTGCTCTAACCACTGAGCTACAGGACTCCATTAAAGTCTCATCATAGGAAAGGTAGCAGGTAAACATTAGCAATATGCAGTGCTGAGTTTACAGTGAATTAATTGATCTCTCTTAAGAGGGCGACGTTTACATCTTTCCTAATCTGTTACAAATCACTATCAAAGTAGACATTTCTACATTGCCTTGCATTTGTTTGTCTTATTTAATCTTAAAAAACTTTTACAATAACCTGTTGGTTAATATACTTGCTTTATGCCCAATACTAAGATAATAATGGGAAAGTTAACCTGATCCTTAGCCTTTACTAAACCTAAGTGAACTTTTTACTTGCGCTGTAGAGACAAAAGCATTTTTGATCAATCAGCTTACGTATTCACCCAAATTGAAACTAGCTAAACGTAACATTGTGAACTTTGAACAAAGACCATTCAGATTTAAAAGCGTCTTTTTTGAGACAGTGTGGCTTTGACTAAAGTTACTATAAACTAAACTGACTATTTACTCTTACTGTATACATTGTCACAGTGACTCTCAAAGTGACTCAACTGGTGTCAGTAAGTAATTAAGTCATACTGTACTTTGCAGGTCTCCTGCATGCTGTCTTTCTGCCTCAATGATTCCACCTCACTGAAGAAAATAATAGTACATTTATGTAACCGCTGAGTGTTTATTGTTCCTTTGCAGCATTTCAATTAGGCGACCCTTTAATGTTTTAAAAAACGTAAAACCAAAGTACCCGTCTTAAATCAGCTCAATAATATTTGGTTGCAAAGGCAGCACAGAATACCGCATAACACTGAACTCTAAGCAAATGTACATTTGGATCAAATAACTGCAAAAAAAGCCAAAACTTTTTTTTTTAAATAATCGACGTGGCGGCAGGGAGCAAGTCCTGTTAAACACTGAAATACTTACTTTTTATTATTCACAGCAAAATGCAGGCTATTATTTTACCTGATAAATGTCACGCAGTCCACACCAAGTCCTCAGCATTTGTTGACAAGTCCTCACTCTTTCACTATACCATCTCCTCAAAGTTGTGATGGTGAAGTTCCATACAAAGCGACTGCCACTGAACAGCAGATCTTCCATTCCACACATGAAGGCTGAAGCCATGATTTTTTTTTGTTTTCCCTCTTCCAAAGAAAGCTCGGCTCAAGTCAGTTCAGCAGTTTTTCATTGCTGGGTTGAATAAATTGTTAGTCCTTTCAGCTTGCAGTTACATCAGCTTTGCTTCGCACACTATGCGAAGGACAGGGAGATATAAAGAAGCAGAGTCGGATTCTAAACAAACTCTCCTTTCAGTGCACTTCCTGGGCAGACTCCAAAGCATGCCCCAATGTTGCTTGAAGGCAGGCCAAAGACTTTTCGTGGCAGAGCCCCAATGAGGCACTCCTGCCTGCACCATCCAGTCCTACCTAACAGCTCAGACAAAACTCTATTATAACCACAGCGACTGCCAGCAAAAGCTGTAATTGAATTCTCTGCTCATTTCCCAGTTTCCTGCCTGCTGACAACATTTTCATGGTCGGAATACAGTTGAAGCAAACGCTGACTTCAAAGGCAAATTTGTTCTACACTATTTTGCTGTGACAAAGCAGCCTGCCTGTATAAAATCGGAATCGCTACTTGCTGTCTGGCTGACTCACTCACATACCTAAAGTGGCTATATATTTTCTCGACTATTGCTTTGGATCCTGCTTGTAAGTTACAGTAGATGCAAATTATTCATTGCAATAAAATGCTTGCAAGTGGTCAAATAAATAAACGCAGCTCCATGGACAAATAATAAACGCCACAAAAGTAACAGAAATGAACAGTGTGTTCTTTGAGGGTTATCCAAGTTATCTGTAATTACTGAGAGAGATAAGTAATGATACTTAGCATCACTTTTGAAAGCTGGTTCCTGCATCCATTCATTTGGATCAAACTCAGCAGCATCTAAAGCACAGCATTCAACAGCAGACAACAGCAAATTAAACGATGCACCAATACATTTCAGAAACCGTATCTGTGCTGCAGTGCTCTGCACCTAAATATTTAATATCCTAAATCTGTTGCATTAGGCTGGGGGTTAATTGTTGTCAGACCCCCTTCAAGCTCTTGGGCAGTAACGGCTGGCTCCTGGTAATTAATCTTTTTCTGCCATCTCTCAAGGCTTGAATTTCCTGAACCTACTGGAAAAAGTAATAAAACGCTCCCTCCCTATGCCAACACCCCATCTTTTCCTGAAAACAGTTACACAGAGAATCTTTCAACAGAAAGTGCTTCACAACTTGGCTCGTAGCCTTCTCTGAGCTGTAAATCTGCTTGGAAAATCTCAATTGGGGGGAATTGAGCCAATTTTTTTTTGAAAAGACCAATCAGACATACAACGCTTTGCACAGTACAGCTGTAAGCCCTGCTTTGGACATGAAAATCAACCCTTAGCTCCCCTCCTACAGCAAGGAGCAGACTTGATGTTATCCATGCTTCTGCTGTTTTATGCTGAAAATCCATCTGTAGCTTTGCTGCGTCTCAGATTCTGCGATGAATTGCAATGATTGACGATGTCCAGACCACCTGAATGAATCAGCCCCCTTCAAGATATAACCAAGATATACTTTACCTAATGCCTGGCATAGATGAGGGCTGCCCATCAATATTCCTTGACACATTGTCCAGTTAATAGTCTGGTGTTGTGACAGAATATTCAATTAGTTGACTACAATGAGGGTCATTCGACACCATTCACTCCCCGTAGTAAATATTTTGATATGCCCTTATAATAATAATCCCTCCAAAACCAAAAACAATAATAAAAAATTGGTCATGTTCAATCTATGACTGTTTGTGGGACATTGCTGTGTGCAATTGGCTGCCACGTTCGCCCACAAATATACAGTCAATTCACTTTACAGTATATTCTGTGAAGCGCTTTGGGACGTCCTCCCGACGTGAATAACGCTATATCAAATGCAAGGATTATTATTATTATTAATAGGAAAACACATTATCAGCCCACTTCGAAAGATTGGCTAGTTAGTGAATGGAGAATAACTCCCGGTGTTCTCAATCAGAAATTAGAACCAACATTAATACTACAGTACACTACAAGTTGTGGTTATAATCTTTTCCTGAACCTTTCATTACGGAAAAGCTGCAATTCTTCCATAGTACCCAACAAAGCCTACATTTAATTTTACTTGTCATTTTGTCACTCACTAAGTACTCAGCTAGTGATATGACTTAAGAATAGTCAGGTCCAATAATATTGTTTAACTTTGGGCTTTTGAATGTGCTCTGCATATGTTGATTTATGGTACAACAATTTACATTTATATAGCACCTTTCACGTCAGAAGGAAGTATCCAAGAACTTCACACATGTTGACTGGAAGCTGTCTATATTCTGATATTTAGGGCTAACTGCTTATTAATAGAGGGCACAATTTTCAAGTTTACTATTGTGTCTCATTGATGTGTGTGTATATATATATATATAAATAATTTTATATACTAATAAATTATACATTGAAACTATGATACATCGTTAATTATTATTATGACATTACTGTCTTCTCTGGTATTTTGGTGTATAGTATACCTCCTTGTTCTCCTTTGAGAATCCTTTGGCGTTAGCTTGATTCCAAGGTGGAATAAACTTAAATATCGATAGTTCGATTTCAAAAGGAATGCCATGTAGAGTTACTTTATTATTAGCACAGCCTTAGGTCAATGGAAATTGGTACTGTGTTTGGACATAGCTCAAAAGCCATCTCCTGCTGTGGCTTCTGTGTTGCTATAATTATGTTTAACAATTCCTCTAATTGACACAAAGTCTTGCATCTAAAAGCCACTGGAAACCTTGCAAGGAAAACTAAAGTGGCTCAAGCTGGGGGCCAACAAACTTAATTAATGTCAGAAGCAGACCTTCCACTGCCTCAATCTCCACCTCTCAACTCTTTTCCTCTTCTACCAAGTTCTGAGGCCATGTAGTTCCCAGTCCTCACCAGTCTTTCATTGTCCCTCAATCTACAATCCATCCCAGCTTGAATCATCCATTTACTACTAATCCCCTTGGACTCTGACATTCTCCGTCACAATTTCTAACCCCTCTTAACCCCTGGTTCCTGTGACTTCCATTTACTCAGAGGCCACCAGTCTCGATTCCCATTGACGTCTGCCAGAAGTTTGTCCAACTCCCAGTCTCCTGCACACCATCAGTCCCAGTAGCACAGCCCCACTTACTGTCATTCCTGACACGTGGTCATTACATCACTGCTTCAGCTTGTATCGTTTGGGTGAATGACTGGTGTCAATGTCAGAACCATTTGTGTCGTTTTGAAATTACATCATAATATCCACAAGAAATACCAAGAACCAAATCAGACCACCCTCCATCCTACACGGGAGGCTCTGTGCATATGTGTCAGTCTGCTGGTTATTGGCTACATCTATGCTCTCATATTATTCCTATTTAAGATACACAGACACAAACACCACTTAAGTCTAATCACCACTTTTATTAGTCTAGCAATTCTATATATTTGATAAACTCATCCCTCCTTTTCTTTTAAAAATAATCGCCTGTGCTGATGGCGATATTCTGTTGCCGTTTGTTGCGGTAATAAAATCGAGCCTGTAATAGAATTAAATGGAAAATCCTGACAGTGTGGACCCTGAAGACCAAACCTGTGAAACAAATAAATTCTCAAAAGTGACAGTGTGGTCTGAGGATACTATCTACAGGAAGGTGTCAAAATACCCTGATTGTTTACTCTATTTTGAAACAAACGTCATATTGCTTTTTCCATAAAAGTACAATTCCATTGACAATTACCTCACTCTGGAATTCATTTTGTTTTTCTTCAGCTAAAGACTTCTTTTTGAATTAAGTCAATGCTATACAATGTGCCAGATGATGGATTCAGGCATAGACCCTGTGATCATTCCGGTCACTGAAGAACAAACCTGTAAGTAAGTCCCTGTCATTTCTCAGTGCATTTGATTTTACACTGAGCTCCATCATCATTGTTTTGGTGGGATTTGGAGAGATAAATTCCAGCTATCGCCACGCCATCAATCTACTAACCAAACAAATTGACCAGATTAACAAGAGAAGCACAGGACTAATGATGTGAATGATTAGCAAAAAGGCACCATTGATGAGAAAAAGTTGATTTTGCTATAACTCAGCTAATAAGATCATTGCCCAATAATAACGTGAGCTATTACAGACCAGAATGGTCCGCAGTCTAGGCTGAGTTAGATGATCTGAGCCATGTTACTAATCTCAGAGCGCATGCCTGGCGGTTGGTATACATGCAAATTTAATAATGGCAGGATGAAACTCAGCTCTAATGCCATACCACACACACTTAAACACTCATTCTCTGTCTGGACTGACATTATTAAGAACAGAAACTTGGCTGCTGTACCAGAAGGTGGCTGGTGCCGTGGAACCATATCCCAGCAGACGTCATTGCCTCGAGGAGAGACAAAACAGAGAGAGCGAGAGAGATCAAAATAAGCTCTGGTGTTCCATTTAATAGGGTGAGAAATTTGAATCCTGAAATAATTCACTTCAATATGATTTTGTTATTTTCTCTTTTGCATAGAGGTAATTTTTGAAAGGGAACATGCTTTTCATCCTGTGTGTCTGTTCTCACCAAGAATTCACTGGCTCTGCCTTGGATCAGTATTCTTTGTGCCTGGAAAACCACTGAATGTGTTGCAGCTCTTTGAATCTCACTGAATGATCCATCCAATGGTGAAGAAAAATAAAACAGGGTAGAAAGGAAGTCTTCAAACCTCAACCACTAAAACTGCAGACAGCAAACTGGGAGCCATGCTGAACGATATAGTAACAGTCCTGAGCTGTCTGAGGAACGATTAAGTAGAGAAGAAGTATCAGAGGGGACCTTATGGAGGTGTATAAAATTTTAAATGGGATTGAGCCATACCAGTCAGAAAAGTAAAGAGAGAATAGGCCAAAAACTCGATGACTTGTATGAAGCAGGATAATGGGTGCACTTTCCACATCACTCAATTATTCATATTGTATGATTCATCAGAAAAGCTGGTTTGTTTATGATGTATTATACATAAGCTTTGGTCAGATCAAAGAATAATGGTGCCTGCTCCTTAATATTTTTCATATGAAGTAATTTCCTAGAAATAGTAACCAACACGCAAGGTTTACATTCCTCCCTCAAAAAAGCTTACATTTTCCAGTTGTATTCTAAACAACTTTTGCTTTTGATTAATGTTGTTTTTATTTATTGACCTTGCCAGGAATAGTGTTTGCCAAATATTTTATCTGCCCATATTTGCCAATATTGTATGAAATTTTAATACTAATTTGTCCATGTATTATTACGTTAAAAACAAAACTCATGTATTTTTATTAATTGACGTACATCATAACACAATTTCAGACTGGTGCATAGATAAAGATTTGCTGCAGTTAATTTCTGGACGAATGCAACTATTGCATTATCAGGACAGTAAATCAATATCACGG